ATGCTGGCGGGATGCACCATCACAGAATCAACTTTGACAAGTAGTGAGTAAAGCCTGAAGAGCCTCAGTGTGATTCGCTTGTGTTATTCAGTCACGTAGTCAGTAAAACACTGTTTGAAGGAGCGGTGCACTTTATCTGTGTGTGTGTGAGCGAGAGAGAGTGAATATGTGTGTGTGAGAGAGAGAGAGAGAATGTGTGTGTGTATGTGTGTGTGTGTTCAGCACTCAAAACACTCCTGAGACTGATGTAACATCAATAAACCCTCCAGGAGAATCTATTTTCTCTCTGAAAAGACACTCAGAATGCTGAAGTCTGTAGCAGCGAATTCTCCGGGTGAATCCGAGTGAGATTTGACCTTGCCGTCTCACCGTACACACACCTGAATCTGATCAGACGGCAATGAATGATTTCTCCACTGTGAAATCAAACCATCATGTGCTTCCCGTCGGTTCATATTCCAGCGCAGAGACGCACAAACTCTGTCTGTTATTGAACGCAGAGAGAAAACCTCGCCTGGAAAGCGTTTCATTGATCGCCCACGTCTGAGGGGTTTTGTGGAAGAGCGAAGGGTGTGTTGAACACAGAAAACATGCTTTTTGAAAACTGCAAACACTGTATTACATCTTTGAGAAAAACTAGATATCAATCAGCAGAATGAAGTCTGAAGAGACTCCGTGTTTGTTTTGGAGGCAGAAGGTCAAGTTCGTCCTCCAGAGCATCTTGTATTCCAATACTACTGTAATAAATATTTGACTAAAAAGCTATGAAGAGTCTGTATATTGCACTGATGAGTCGTTTTCATGATGAATAACAATAATAGCAGTAACATACTGTATATAGAGTCATTCAGTCTTTTAATTTGAAATGTACATATTTTAAATACTATGGAATTTTATTCCGCCACAGAATAAAAAAATGAATAATAGTAAAAATAATAATTAGAATTTGGACTTTTTTCTTGCAATCCTGAGTTGACATCTCTTCTGTCAGTTCTGCTTTTTTTCTGATACAAAATAAAAAATAAAATAAAAAAGGTAATTGCAACTTTTTAATCTGACAATTCAGATTTTTTTTTTAAGTTTAAAAAGTGTGAATTACAAAAAAAGTCTAAATTGTGAGATAAAAATCCTTTTTATTTTATTTTTTTATTATTTTATTTTTTTTATACAATAGCAGAAACAAGTTTCCATAACATACCCTACCATTTAAAACTTTGGGGTTAGTGAGATTTTATTTTAATTTATTTAATTTTTTTTGTGAATGAAATTAATACTTTTATTCATCATAGATGCATTAAATTGATGAGAAGTGACATTAAAGTCCTTTATAATGCTACAAAAGATTTCACAGTTTCCACAAAAATATTGTGCAGCACAACTGTTTTCAACATTAATAATAATCAGAAATGTTTCTCGAGCAGCAAATCAGCATATTAGAATGATTTCTGGAGATCATGTGAGACTGAAGACTGGAGTAATGATGCTGAAAATACAGCTGCGCATCACAGAAATAAATTTAATTCTAAAATATATTCACATAGAAAACAGCTATTTTAA